ATTGTATAAGAAGGCTTTTCCTGTCCTTATCCAAAAATTGATGTAGTGGTTAAGGGGTAAATAAAATGACAAAAGATGAGCACTGGGTGTTGTATGTAAGTGATGAACCACGGGAATCTACCCCAAAACCAAGAGCACACTTTACACACTGTATGTTAGCCAATTTGACAATAAATTATATTTAAAGAATAATAATAATAAATAAAATCACAAATATTTGAATATTGGGGGGAAAATCAACAACCAACAAAACATACTGTACAAGTGAAGGACAATTCCTATCATAATGAAAAGCTACAATAATTAAAATTGAGTGGTGGTGGCAGACAAATAGAACAACAGACCATAATAAATAATCAGAAATAGATCTGTGTGCCAAGAGGATTAAGTATATTCAAAATAAATTACAGATGAAATGGTTTAAATGTAAAAAATTAAGCCATTAACAGAAGAAACCATCGAGAAACATTTTTAACAATGGTACAGTGGCCCTTTCAGAGCATCATACAGAGCCCAGAAGCCCTGAGAGAAATGATTAATCTGACTTACTAAAAATCAGATATTTCTGTATAGTAAAAAGCCTCCATATGAAATGGCAAAAAAACTAGGAAAAAAATATTTGTAACTCACATTACAGACAAAGGATTAATTCCATTAATGAATAAGGAACTCCTACAAATCCATAGGAAAAGAATCTAAGGAAAACGGGGCGGGGGGGGGGTGGAGAGGGAGGGAATAGGAAAGGGTTCACGGAACAATAATGGTTCTCATAAACATTTTTCTTAATAAGAGGAATATAACTTTTTACCTATCATACTGGTGATAGTTTACAGTTTAATAACACCCTATATTGGCATGGATATGGAGAAATACTCTTCTACATCGTTGGTGACATAACTTCCTGGAGAACAATTTAGCAATACCTATCAAAATTGAAATGTACATACCCTTTGGCCTAAAAATTCTACTTCTAGGAATATCCTACGGTAAAGGGCAAAATGACCTATACGCAAGGTTATTTGCTGTAGCACTGTTACTAACTGCAAATGATTGGAAGTAATCTAAAAGTCCATTACCAGGGGACCGGTTAAATAAATTATGGTACATACACACAATGGAATATTATAAAATGACAGCTGTAAAAAAGAAAAAGCACTTTATATAATGACTTGGAATGAATTACAAGACCTATCAAGGAAAAACCATGATGTAGAATAATAATTATAGCATGCTTTTATTTGTGTGAAAAATCAGGAGGTGTAGCAAAGAAAATTATTCATATTTTCTCTTATAAACATAAAAATTCTTTAGAAATAAACTGGTAAACAGAAGTTACCTAAAGGATTGAAAGGAAAGAAGATGTTTCACTGAATACAGTTTTATGCTTCTTGTGTTTTTAAGCATATAAATGTATTGTTTATTTTAAAAATTAAATATTTTAAAGCAAGTTACAGAATGACATATATAGTACGATCTTAATATTTTAAAAAGCACACAAATGCATAGAAAAAAAGAAGAAGATCTATCAAAATGTTAAAGAGTGATTGTTATTAGTTGGTATTGAGGGTGATGTTTACTTTCTCCAAATTCTTTTTTGGTATTTTCCAAATTTTCAACAAATTAAAAACATATATTACTTATATATTCAGAAAAGAAAAATACACAGAAGTCTTTTCTGTTATTATTGTTATTTTTTAAATTGGGCTGCCTATATTGCCAAGAAAAGGTTTCTTCTTGGTGGTGGAAAAGAGGGGGATCTTTTTACTTCGCCTATTCAGCTGAGGAATCTTAGAGACTGAGTGTCTCCACATTTCTAAGCAGTAGAAAAGAAATGATCAAATATTCCTTGCCTTATGGAAAAACTAAAAGGTAGCCCAGATGCAGGCTGTCAGGGAAAATGAGATACCTCTAAGAATATGGTCATGATATCATAGCTTTCCAAAGGCCCTGAGTGATTTAAAAAAATAAAGTTCACATTCCATAACACATCCTTTAAAAGCACAGAATAGATATGACCAGCATGAATCACTGTATCCCTTCCCCCTCTCCAAGGGCACAACACCCAGAATAGCTTCCTGATGACGCAGCAGCCAGAAGCCTTTGAAAGCCTTAATCTTTAGGGAGGAAATGAAAGGGAAAAATAAGTCCTTGACACAGACATTAATTGTTAGGTCTTTACAAGCCAGAACAAAGCAGCAGTGAAATTGGTATTGATCTTCTGGTTTTGATTCTTTCCATTAGAGCCTATAGTTGAAAAGTGTGTGTATGACAGATTTGCCTGGTTTGCTTTCACTAATTAACACTACTGCTATTTTGCAGATGACCATATACTTTAATATTTTTCATTTCGATGACCATATGCTCTCACAGATATCACTTATTAATAACTGTAACAAGATATGTTATTATTGGTTTGCATTTACCAAGCATCCTTCATTTGGAATTCCATTGACTTTACTATTTCATGAAATCGTTTTCTAAGAAAAAAGACATTTTCTTTTTCTGGCACAGATGGTAAAACGGTCTTGTAATATGGTAAAGTGATTACTCTAGATGACAATGTAAAATTAGTAATAGAACCAAGGAGAGAACCTTTTTGCTATCAAGATGCAAGTACTTAACCACTCACCAACTGCCACTGATCTAGTAGTTATTTTGGTCATCAGCCTGGGAAACTTGTATTGAGTTTTTGTAAAACATGTGGCATGATTCCCAAGTTTCTGGCTTGGGAGACCTGAGTGGCTAGCAATGCCACAAATCAGTGTTAAAAATAGGAGAAAGGGCAATCTCATGAGGAAAATAAGTTTGTTTTGGGTCATGCTGTGCTTAGCCTACAGGACAAAGAGCCAGATGATAATGTATAGCAGACAGCTTGTCTTATGGATCTGGAGTTCAGGAGAGGTGTCTGAGCTAGGGGTCTTTAGTACAAAGGTGATAGTTAACACAATGCAAGTGGATGAAGCTGTTTCAGGTAAACGTACAGAGTAAAAAGAGATAAGGACATAGGACAGAATCCCATTAAAAACTAAAACCCAAAAAGAAGAGATTCCAGGGAAAGAAACTAAGAAGGAATGGTCACAGGGGTAGCAGAAGGACTCTACGACATTAGAAGATAATAATGCTATACAAGTCATGGTGTGATGATGGTCAACAACGAAGAACATAAGACAGTGTTCAAAAGGAAAGAAATGTTCATGGATCTGGTACCATGGACATCATTTTACTTAAACTTCAGTAGCAAGATCACCAGTTGTAAGGGCAAAAGCCAGATTGCAGTGGGTTATTTGTTTTATAAATTCCAGTCTTCATAACTATTTTTTATAGGACTACATGTAACTTGAAACTTAGGAAATAATTAATAAATGTTTCTTTAATTTTGTATGTGCCACAAACTGCACTAGGTAAATTTGTATGCTATTTCATTTAATCTTTCCATCAAACATGATACAAATAACATTATTCTCATTTTTATAGATGAGAAAAGCAAGCCTCAAAAAAATTATTACCTAACAGTTAAGATCAACTGTCAGCTTATGTTTTTTAAAGCTTTTCATGTATATTATCTCATTTAATTCTCACAATAATTCAACGAGGGAGGTATCAGTGTTACCTCATTTTACAAATGAGGAAACAGAGGCACAAAGAAATAACTTACCCAATACCACATAGTTCTGAAGCTGAGATTAAAATATGAACAGTCTGACTCAAGAGTCTATAATTGTAACTACTATGTCATTTTTTCCCCAAGGACCTGAGAAATGAGTCTAGATTTCAATCCAGGTTCTATCTGATTCCAAAGACTTTTGTCAGGCTACCGTACAATGTTGCCTCCAAATGTCTAGAATGGTGTTTAAATAACAATAACCATTAAGAAACACTTTGAGAGAGCCTCACTTTCAGAACTTACTCTGAATAAAGAAAATCTAACCTAAGCCAACTTCTCCACTGAATTCTGAAAATGTCAAACAGGAACATTAGTTTGAAGATACTGTTCAGAGATAATACACATATATTTTTAGAAGGAAGGGTAGCATATTAAGTCCTATCAACTATAAATACCTTAACACCAATTAGTTGGTTAGCTTTTTTTCAATGTGACTGCTTGAGAATAAATTCTGATTAGAAAAGAGAAAGACAAGCTTAGCTCTAGGGAAAGAGTTCCGGGGAAGAATTCTAGACTCTGATATGGGATACGGAGGAGTTGTTCAGGAATACAAGCCTATGCACATATTTGTGAGGTCTGATTTAAAAAAAATTTTTTTAAATTTTATTTATATTTTTGAGAGAGACAGAAAGACAGCATGAGCTGGAGAGGAGCAGAAAGAGGGGAGACACAGAATCTGAAGCAGGCTCCAGGCTCCGAGTTGTCAGTGGAGTCCAATGCGGGGCTCATACCCACAAACCGTGAGATCATGACGTGAGCCAAAGTCAGACACTTAACCAACTGAGCCACCAAGGCACCCCTATGATGTCTGATTTTTTAAGTAGGAGGATACTAGAGCCAATGACTCACTTGACAATTTTATTCAGATCCAAACCTTATTTAAAACACTGCAAATGAAGTAAATGCAAAAGATAAAGCAAAAAACATTATGTATTATTATATTCTACTCTTTATTAATACTCAAAGTTTATTAGTGTTTGAGGATATTACAGAAAAGAAACTCAACATCAATAAAGTTTATATTAAAAAAATTAAGCTATAACTAAAACTACCATTCATAAGAATCAACCAGTTATCTATAAATGATGCTCAGAGGGTATTCTAAAAAAGACAATATTCTGTAATTGATGTGTCCTAGGGTGCTCCTAAGAGAAAAATCCTAGGGATTCATCATCATTGTCCTTATCCTCTTCCTTCTCATCATCATACCACAGTCCCACCTTCAAGGGCTCACAGACTAGTAGCCTTCATCTTCTCCCTGTCAACAACTTAATGCAACTGTTTCTTTTCAGCAAATGATGCAGCCAACCTGGCAAAAAAGAAGAGGTCTACACACCTGGTCGTGGATAAGCCCATGATAGAGGATGCTCTGCATGTCCCTACAAAGCCGCTCCAGGCCACCATACTTGGACCAGACGTTGGGGCTGTTGGCTGACACCAAACCCTCCACAGTAGTCTTCAAATTACCCAGCAACTGCCAGTGCTCCCTCCTGCAAGGGCATCAATTATACCAAAGGTTAGTTAACTCTGTTGTATCTGATCCTAAACATGTCAAAGAAAGTCTAAGCCAAGAGGCCTCCAGCCCAAATCCTAATATTTTTTCCTCTATTAATTTTTACTTGGGCCTAAGACCCAAATCAGAGAGGACTTAAGTTGTAAAGAACACTAAGATTAAAAAAACAAAAACAAAATCCCTCACTCTTAATGAGGCATGTTATGTTTTGTAAGGTGATCTTCATTTTTTATCTCATTCAATTCTCACATAAGTAGCCTATAACCCTCTGTTTCTAAGACTGAGACCCATCAAGATCCATTTCTGGAAATGACAGGACATAAGCAGTGTATAAAGAGATGAGGGGATGTGATCAAAACCAGAAATCTTTTTTAGAACAAAAAAGTCAAAAAAGACTTTTTATTCACTATATTTCCATGCACTAAGTACACATATGTATACACAAATATTATGATTAAGAATGTAAATTGTCCATGATTTCTGCCTCC